CATTGGGGGCAAATGCATGGTGTAACCAGTTATAGAAAAAGTCCCTAGTGACCCATGCCTTACTGTTTGCCCTCCACAGCACACACAAATTATCCTTGAGGACATTCTTTTGCCTGAACGCTCTGGAGTTTCAGAGTGATACACTAATAAAGGCTTAACTTTGCAATCACCACTAGCATTGGCACACATCAACAAAGTAAGCCTGTCTTTCATAGGCTTATGTCCTGGGAGTGCCTTTTCCTCCTGAGTAATGTAGGTCCTGCTTGGAATTTTCTTCCAAACACAGGCCTGTTTCATCACAATTAAACACTTTTCAGGTTTCAGTCCTTCACTGTCTATGTACTCCTTGAATTCATGCACATATTTTTTCAGCCGCTTTGTGGTCCGAACTGGCAGCCTCACCATGCCTTATCACACTATGTATGCCCTAACGCTTCTTAAATCTCTCAAACCACCTTTGCTGGCCTTAATTCACTCACATCATCACTAGTTGCAGGCATTTTTTTAATTAATCCTGATGCAACTTCCTAGCCTTTTCACATATGATCGCTTGAGAGACGCTATCTCCTGCTAGCTGTTTTTCATTTATCCACACCAATAAGAGTCTCTCAACATCTTCCATCACTTGCGATCTTTGTTTCGAAACACAGTTAAACCTTGGCAAGAACAGCTTCCTTGATTGCCTTTCTGGTGCCCACAATAGTAGCGATGGTTGATTGGGGTTTCCAGGTCGGCGATACGCACTCCACTTTCATACTTATCAATGATCTCTTTCTTCATTTCTATTGGAATTCTCACCCTTATTGGTGTACGGTTGGCACTAGAAGCTTTCTTGGGGCCCATGGTCACTTATTTTCCAGAAACAGCACCGAAAACACTGTAATACGAAATATTCCGATTGTATGCTTGGATGTTACCGCGGAGGCTGGCTGGTAAACAATGGCACGGGCGGCACATGTGAGGCTGGCTGAGGGCGCACATTGGACGCGTCTCGGACGAAAATCGGTGAAAGCGGGTTTTTAAGCTGTATGCGCGGCAAAATTTTTGCGATTAAAGCAAGCGGTATGCGGATTAATCGCTATGTGATGCCATCGTTATGCGGGGGTCCACTGTATATATATACATATATATATATATATATATAATATATTATATATATATATATATATATATATATATATATATATATATATATAATATATATATATATATATATATACAGTGGACCCCCGCATAGCGAACGCCTTGCATAGCGAACAATCCGCATAGCAAACGCTTTGTTCGCTGAAATTTTGCCCCGCATAGTAGACAAAAACCCGCTCAGCGAACTTCGTCCGAGACGCGTCCAATGTGGGCCCTCAGCCAGCCTCACATGTGCCGCCCGTCCCATTGTTTACCAGCTAGCCTCCGCGGTAACATTCAAGCATACACTCGGAATATTTCGTATTATTACAGTGTTTTCGGTGCTGTTTCTGGAAAATAAGTGACCATGGGCCCCAAGAAAGCTTCTAGTGCCAACCCTGTGGTAAAAAGGGTGAGAATTAGTATGGAAATTAAGAAAGATTTTGAAGGGTTTGGGCTAACCCTGAGAAGCCTATGCCAGTTGTGGAATCCATTGTGCCTCTTCAAAAATTAAGGAAATGTGTGCACAGTGGGTTGAACTGCAAACCTTTATGGATGAAAATCACCCTGACACAGCTGTTGCAAGCCGTGCTGGTGACTATTTCAATGACAATGTTATGGCCCATTTTAGGAAAGTCTTGAAGGAACGGGAGGTCAGAGCTCTATGGACAGATTTGTTGTGCGACAGAGGTCCAGTGACTCTCAAGCTGGTCCTAGTGGCATTAAAAGAAGAAGGGAAGTAACCCAGAAAAGGACTTGCTACCTCAAGTCCTAATGGAAGGGGATTCCCCTTCTAAACAGTAAGAAGATAATGCTCTCCGCTCCTCCATCCCATCAATCATCACCAGATCTTCAATAAAAGTAAGTGTCATGTAATTGTGCATGCCTTTTCAGTTTGTGTGTACTAAAATTAACATTTTTTTGTGGTAAAAAAATTTTTTTTTCATACTTTTGGGTGTCTTGCACGGATTAATTTTATTTCCATTATTTCTTATGGGGAAAATTAATTCGCATAGCGAACATTTCGCATAACGACCAGCCCTCTTGCACGGATTAAGTTCGCTATGCGGGGGTCCACTGTATATATATATATATTATATATATACATGTATATATATATACATGTATATATATACATGTATATATATATATATATATATATATTATATATATATATATAAATATTTCGTATTATTACGTATATATATACGTATTATATTTTACGTATATATATACGTTATATATACGTAATATATACGTATATATATACGTATATATATAGTATATATATATATTATATATTTATATATATAATATATTATATATATATATATGATTATATATATATATATATATTATATACATATATATATATATATATATATATATATATATATATATATATATATATATATATACGTATATATATATATATATATATATACGTATAATATATATATATATATATACGTATATTATATATTATATATAATATTATAGTATATTATATATTATATATATATATATATACTATATATATATATATATATATATTTATATAATAATATATAATAATTATATATATATATATATATAGATAATATATATATATATATATATATATTATATTATATAATATATATATATATATATATATATATATATTATATATAAATTATATATATATAATATATATATTATATTATATATATATATATATTATTATATATAAGATATATTTATATAATATATATAATTATATTATATACGTATATATATATTATATATATAATTTATATATATAGTATATTTATATAATATACGTATATATAATTACTTATTATATATATATTTTATATATACGTTATCATATATATATATATATATATTATATATTATATATATATATATATAATATATTTTATATATATTTATATATATATATATATATATATATATACAGTGGACCCCCGCATAACGATTACCTCGGAATGCGACCAATTATGTAAGTGTATTTATGTAAGTGCGTTTGTACGTGTATGTTTGGGGGTCTGAAATGGACTAATCTACTTCACAATATTTCTTATGGGAACAAATTCGGTCAGTACTGGCACCTGAACATACTTCTGGAATGAAAAAAATATCGTTAACCGGGGGTCCACTGTATATATATATATATATATATATATATATATATATATATATATATATATATAATATATATATATATATATATATATATTCAACAAGTCGGCCATCTTCCACCAAGGCAGGGTGACCCAAAAAGAAAGAAAATTCCCAAAAAGAAAATACTTTCATCATCATTCAACACTTTCACCTCACTCACACATAATCACTGTTTTTGCAGAGGTGCCCAGAATACAGCAGTTTAGAAGCATATACATATAAAGATACACAACTTGTCCCTCCAAACTGCCAATATCCCGAACCCTTCCTTTAGAGTGCAGGCATTGTACTTTCCATTTCCAGGACTCAAGTCCAGCTATATAAAAATAACAGGTTTCCCTGAATCCCTTCACTAAATATTACCCTGCTCACACTCCAACAGCTCGTCAGGTCCCAAATACCATTCGTCTCCATTCACTCCAATTGAACACGCTCATGCACGCTTGCTGGAAGTCCAAGCCCCTTGCCCACAAAACCGCCTTCACCCCTTCCTTCCAACCTTTTTGAGGACGACCCCTACCCGCCTTCCTTCCCCTACAGATTTATACGCTTTCCATGTCGTTGTACTTTGATCCATTCTCTCTAAATGACCAAACCACCTCAACAACCCCTCTTCAGCCCTCTGACTAATACTTTTATTAACTCCACACCTTCTCCTAATTTCCACACTCCGAATTTTCTGCTTAATATTTACGCCACAAATTGCCCTTAGACAGGACATCTCCACTGCCTCCAACCTCCTCCTCCTCGCTGCACCATTTACAACCCAAGCTTCACACCCATATAAGAGTGCTGGTACTTCTATACTTTCATACATTCCCTTCTTTGCCTCTATAGATAACGTTTTTTGTCTCCACATATACCTCAATGCACCACTCGCCTTTTTTCCCTCATCAATTCTATGATTAACTTCATCCTTCATAAATCCATCCGCCGACACGGCAACTCCCAAATATCTGAAAACATTCACTTCTTCCATACTCCTCCTCCTCAATTTGATATCCAATTTTTCTTTATCTAAATCATTTGATTCCTTCATCACCTTACTCTTTTCTATGTTCACTTTCAACTTTCTACCTTTACACACACTCCCAAACTTGTCCACTAACCTTTGCAATTTTTCTTTAGAATCTCCCATAAGCACAGTATCATCAGCAAAAAGTAACTGTGTCAATTCCCATTTTGTATTTGATTCCCCGTAATTTAATCCCACCCAGGGAGGTACTACCGTCCTGCCAAGTGAGTGTAAAATAGAAACCTGTAATTGTTTTACATGATGGTAGGATTGCTGGTGTCTTTTTTTCTGTCTCATAAACGTGTAAGATTTCGGGTACGTCTTGCTACTTCTACTTACACTTAGGTCACACTACACATACATGTACAAGCATATATATACACACCCCTCTGGGTTTTCCTCTATTCTCTTTCTAGTTCTTGTTCTTGTTTATTTCCTTTTATCTCCATGGGGAAGTGGAACAGAATTCTTCCTCAGTAAGCCATGTGTGTTGTAAGAGGTGACTAAAATGCCAGGAGCAAGGGGCTAGTAACCCCATCTCCTGTATAAATTACTAAATTTAAAAAGAAAATTTTGTTTTTCTTTTTGGGCCACCCTGCTTTGGTGGGATACGGCCGGTTTGTTGGAAAAAAAAAAAATATACACACGCACACACACAAACTTTTCTTTTGCTCCTTTATCCTCTTGTTGTTTTCCATCATGTTGTTGATGTTGCAGGTCGACCCAGGATCAGTGCCCAGGAGGTAGTGCAGGCAATAGAGTCTCTCTCAGTGACACTAGAGTGTGCAGTGGATGCCTGGCCTGAACCTTCACTAGTGTGGTGGAGGGACCCTGAGGGCCGGGTGCCTGTCATCCACGGTGGTAACTACATCATCAGTACCTCAAATGACCCGCAGGTGAGTCCCAACTACCAGCACTAACCTCCATGGAAAAGCGGAAAAGAATTCTTCCTCCATAAGCCATACATGCCGTAAGAGGTGACTAAAATGCTGGGAACAAGGGGCTAGTAATCCCTTCTCCTGTATATTTTACTAAATTTAAAAGGAGAACCTTTCGTTTTTCCTTTTGGGCCACCCCACCTCGGTGGGATACAGCTGGTGCGTTGAAAGAAGAAAGAAAATATATATATATATATATATATATATATTTGGGATTGCCAAAACTATTGTCCCGAGGCCTGAAGAGGGTTGTTGAGGTGGTTCGGACATGTAGAGAGAACGGAACAAAACAAAATGACTTAGAATGTATAAATCTGTAGTGGAGGAAAGGCGGGGTAGGGGTCGGCCTAGAAAGGGTTGGAGAGAGGGGGTAAAGGAGGTTTTGTGTGTGTGGGGCTTGGACTTCCAGCAAGCGTGTGTGAGCGTATTTGATAGGAGTGAATGGAGACAAATGGTTTTTAATACTTGACGTGCTGTTGGAGTGTGAGCAAAGTAACATTTATGAAGGGATTCAGGGAAACCAGTAGGCTGGACTTGAGTCCTGGAGATGGGAAGTACAGTGTCTGCACTCTGAAGGAGGGGTGTTAATGTTGCAGTTTTATAACTGTAGTGTAAAGCACCCCTCTGGCAATACAGTGATGGAGTGAATGATGATGAAAGTTTTTCTTTTTCGGGCCACCCTGCCTTGGTGGGATACAGCCGGTGCATTGAAAGAAAGAAAGATGTATATAATTAAACTTTATTGAATTTTCTGGGGAATCCCTAATCAGTTTTGTTTTTTGTATGAAGATTTTTAAATATAACTTTGACTTTAAAATTCTCGAGAAAATATATCAAGGTTTTCATGGTAAGGGAGAGCCAACATATTCTTGTGAACCGTATAATGTATTTCTGGTAATTTTGAAAGATTTGTCAATGAAACTTTTTGGGTATTTTAGATCATATACTATTTCATAAATCTTCAATACATATTTCCTCATTATGCAAAAATTAAAAACAAGTGATACCAGATGCAAAACACCCACGGGGGGAGTTGAATGATAGCTCTGGGTACTGGTTGGTATACCAGGGACACTTATCGTCTACTGCTGCCCTCTTCCTCTGAACGTATATGCTTGGAATTCATCCTTTTTCTGCAATATTGCAAGCTTCTTATGTGCTGATTGCAACACAGAAGGCCTAGAGCTATCATTCAACTCCCCTGAGGTTGTTTTGCATATTTCCTCATCTATAAACTCTGGACTGCAACTGCCCAGAGCTCTCACAAGCCTGGAGGATAATTCAAAACATAACAGTTATTTGTTGATTTTCTGTATATTTAGGATTTAAATTTCTTGGTTCCCCTTAGTAATTAAAACAGTCAGTTATAAGAGAGTTGACTGTATATAGAGGAGTTGACCATATGTACAGAAGCTTTATAGGAAAGTTGTCTGTATGTAGAGGAGCTTTATAAGTGATCAGACTGTACACAGAAGAGCCTTATAAAGAAGCCGACTCTTGATAAAGGAATTTCATAAGAGAACTGACTGTATATATATATAGGACATTTATAAGAGTGTTGACTCTACAAAGAGGTTTATAAGAGGGCTGATTGTACCTACATACTCATATACACAAATAACTCTCACTCGCCAGTATAGAATTAACCTGAATATCTCACCTCGACCATGAGACCCTCCTTGGGTAATATTCAACCGGCAGAGAATTATAAATCAATCCAAAATGCCCCCAAATTTTTATTCTGTGAAAGAGAATAAGTAAGTTTATTCAGGTATACACAAATACAGTTACATAGATTATCATACATAGCAGCATATGTGTAGATAACCTAGGATAACCCAAAAAAGTCAGTTGACCAACCATTGATTATCTCTTTCTAATTTAATAAAAAAGGCCATTAAGGATGATAATTGGGTAGTTAAGTTAGTCTGAAGACCCAGTCAGTGTCAGGTCAGAGTATGTGTCACGTGGGTAGTTAAGTCATGTGTTTGGCAGGAAATTTATGGGGAACTGAACTGTACTGGCTGGTGCCTGGTGGAGTGATGTGTTGGCACCCCTCCTCGTTAGTGCCTGCTGAAGGTGCCAGCACTGTGATGGCACTTGACTCCCTCCCCAGGGAGATTCTCCCTAGCATATGAGATTATCTCCATCACCAGGGAGATTACCTCCCTTGTGAGGAAGATTATCTCCCTCACAAGAGAGATTAACTCCCTCACATAAGTCACTCCATACTGGAGATTATCTCCCTATTAACATATATAAACTCACTAGTAAGGGAGATAGTCTTCCAAGAGATTCTTGCCCCTGGTAAGGGAGATATTTTCCGTAGTGAGAGAGATAATCTCTCCTAGTAAGATATAATCTCCCTAGTAAGGGACTCTTGCTGGCAAGGGAGACTCCCTAGTAAAATAACCACCCACAGGATGAGTATGGGGTGCATAATAAAGATATTAAGCCTTTCAGGGTTGAGAGGCCCTCTCCTACACTTGTTCTCAGGGTCGAAAATTTTTCGGAAAAAAAAATTTTTTCTTATGAAAATAGAGAATCTTTTCCCGATCATAATGACACCAAAAGTATGAAATTTGATAGAAAACTTATGGAATTATGCTCTTGCAAAGTTAGCAGTCTCGACGATGTTTACGCATTGGCGATTTCGCCCACTTTGAGCCCTATTTTCAGCCAATTCCAGTGTACTTGTCGACAAAAATCATAACTATTTCGCTAGAACTCCATTTTTTTCTATCGAATGAGTACAAGAAACCACCTATTTACAGATTTCAACTATCCAATAAAGTGGTCAGAAATTAGCAATTTTGCCAATTTCACACAAATTTCAAAACCTGGAGTTTACCTGGAGAGAGTTCCGGGGGTCAACACCCCCGCGGCCCGGTCTGTGACCAGGCCTCCTGGTGGATCAGAGCCTGATCAACCAGGCTGTTGCTGCTGGCTGCACGCAAACCAACGTACGAGCCACAGCCCGGCTGGTCAGGAACCGACTTTAGGTGCTTGTCCAGTGCCAGCTTGAAGACTGCCAGGGGTCTGTTGGTAATCCCCCTTATGTATGCTGGGAGGCAGTTGAACAGTCTCGGGCCCCTGACACTTATTGTATGGTCTCTTAACGTGCTAGTGACACCCCTGCTTTTCATTGGGGGATGTTGCATCGTCTGCCAAGTCTTTTGCTTTCGTAGCAAGTGATTTTCGTGTGCAAGTTCGGTACTAGTCCCTCTAGGATTTTCCAGTGTATATAATCATGTATCTCTCCTGCCTGCATTCCCAGGGAATACAGGTTTAGGAACCTCAAGCGCTCCCAGTAATTGAGGTGTTTTATCTCCGTTATGCGTGCCGTGAAGGTTCTCTGTACATTTTCTAGGTCAGCAATTTCACCTGCCTTGAAAGTGCTGTTAGTGTGCAGCAAATTCCAGCCTAGATAGAACAAGTGACCTGAAGAGTGTCATCATGGGCTTGGCCTCCCTAGTTTTGAAGGTTCTCATTATCCATCCTGTCATTTTTCTAGCAGATGCAATTGATACAATGTTATGGTCCTTGAAGGTGAGATCCTCCGACATGATCACTCCCAGGTCTTTGACGTTGGTGTTTCACTCTATTTTGTGGCCAGAATTTGTTTTGTACTCTGATGAAGATTTAATTTCCTCGTGTTTACCATATCTGAGTAATTGAAATTTCTCATCGTTGAACTTCATATTGTTTTCTGCAGCCCACTGAAAGATTCGGTTGATGTCCGCCTGGAGCCTTGCAGTGTCTGCAATGGAAGACACTGTCATGCAGATTCGGGTGTCATCTGCAAAGGAAGACACTGTGCTGTGGCTGACATCCTTGTCTATGTCGGATACGAGGATGAGGAACAAGATGGGAGCGAGTACTGTGCCCTGTGGAACAGAGCTTTTCACCGTAGCTGCCTCGACTTTACTCTGTTGACGACTACTCTCTGTGTTCTGTTAGTGAGGAAATTATAGATCCATCGACCGACTTTTCTGTTATTCCTTTAGCACGCATTTTGTGCGCTATTACGCCATGGTCACACTTGTCGAAGGCTTTTGCAAAGTCTGTATATATTACATCTGCATTCTTTTTATCTTCTAGTGCATTTAGGACCTTGTCGTAGTGATCCAATAGTTGAGACAGACAGGAGCGACCTGTTCTAAACCCATGTTGCCAATTTCCAAATAGGGTCCAGAATAAACAAGACAGACATTCCTGGCACTAAAATACACCTACCATCCGACTTACGACCGAGTTCGGTTCCGAGAAACTGGTCGTAAGTCGAACTTTACTACTGAATATCAACAAAACATTTTTGTAATTGCTTTATTTTATTGTTTTATTTTGGTATTTCATGTTTTACTTTACTTTTTATGCTGTTAGTACTGTATTTTATACTGTAATGTTTAGGATAAACACTGTGTACAACACAAATAGTTGTTTATTTCCCAGAAATTTGGCATAAAAAACACGGTCGTAAGTCGAGTGGTCGTAAGTCAGATGGTAGGTGTGTGTGTGTGTATATATATATATATATATATATATATATATATATATATATATATATATATATATATAAATATATATATATATATATATATAATATATAAATATATATATTTTTATTATTATTATTATCACACTGGCCGATTCCCACCAAGGCAGGGTGGCCCGAAAAAGAAAAACTTTCACCATCATTCACTCCATCACTGTCTTGCCTGAAAGGTGCTTTACACTACAGTTTTTAAACTGCAAACATTAACACCCCTCCTTCAGAGTGTGTGTGTGTGTGTGTGTGGTGTGTGTGTGTGTGTGTGTGTGTGTGTGGTGTGTGTGGTTGTGTGTGTGGTGTGTGTGTGTATATATATATATATTATATATATATTATATTTATATATATAATATATATATATATATATATATATATATATATATATATATATTTATTTATTTATTTATTTATTTATTTATTTATTTATTATTTATTTATTTATTTTGTGTGTTTCTCCCTACAGTGTGAAGGTAAATATTTGATGCAGATGACCAACATGTTATGTTCTTCCTTTCTCTAACTCAGCCCTCACAATGTAACTACCCAATGCACCTGACAACATTGTTATTCTTCTTCCTACAGACTGAAGGTGGCTATCTGATGAGGCTGACTATCAAAACTATAAAAGAGAGTGATGCTGGTCTCTATTACTGTCATGCTCGAAATGCCTTTGGCACCTTCACGCACACTACAAAGGTAATGCACCTTCACACGCACTACAGTGTGGCGTTACCTTGCACTTCATAAAACTCCACTGTGGGTACAAATTTACAAAAAATAGATTTTTCTTCACTTGAAGTGTTTTATAAATAGTCTTTCTATATCTCCATAGTTTTCTAGTCTGGTGCACAGAATTTGCAACAAGCCATCAACAGGAACTAAGGTGGCTTAGTGATCTCCTATTTATGTTTCGCTCACAGGTTCAGGTGAGCAAGCATGCCAAGCTGGAGATTGATGTGTCAGAGTGCTGCAGAGTAAATAACGTAAGTGACACCTGTCTGGACGCCTGCTCCTTTGATCAACTCAACTTTGAGAGTGTGATGAACCGTGACGAGTGCATCCCGGACTTCAGCAAGCTCATGAAGTGTGCAGCAGGTGAGAACACACACAACCAGGCTCTGAATGGTAATTCATCTGGCAGGTAATGAGATGGAGAATCAAGCCTTCACCACTCCTTGTGTGTGTGTTGGAAAGACTGGGTAAAGGAGGTTTTGAGTGCTAGGGCTTTGACATCCAGCAAACTTGTGTGTGCATGATAGATAGGAGTGGACTCAAGTGGTTTTATGACTTGACGAGCTGTTGGAGTGTGAGCGAGGTAAGATTTGTGAAGGAATTTAGGGAAAACCAGTTAGCTGAATTTGAGTCTTTGGAGTGGAAAGTAAAGTGCCTGTACCCTAAAGGACGGGTGAGGATGCTACAGTTCTAGAGGTGGATAGTGCCTGTACTATGAAGAATGGCTGAGGATTTCACAGTTCTGGAGGTGGGAAGTACAGTGCCTGAACTCTTGAAAGATGGGTGAGGATGATACAATTCTGGAGATGGAAAGAACAGTGACCAAAAAATAGAAGAAATGCATTCACCATCATGGCCAGAAATGCTCCAGGTCTTCAAGATCTCCCCCACATACAACACCTTCTAACACCTGTCCACAGATGGTTCTGACCACCGCAGCTGTTGCAGTCAGCGCCAGGTGCCAAAGAAGTGCCTAGACTGGTGCCGGGGGGAGCTCGTGCCACTCCAGCACCTATGTGACCTGCAGTGGGCACCCATCATTTTCTCATGCTTCAATGAGGGTCAAGGTAATTGTTACATTTACACATGAGAGTGAAGGTAACTTATATTTACACCTGACAGTTAAAGTAATTGATTTATACCTAAGAGTTAAGGTAATTTGTACATTTATTATTATTATTGTTATTTTTATTATTATAATTGTGGGAAGTGCTTAACCTATATGGATGATACAGCACTTGTGAGGATTGGTGGGGGATTAACCAGGTTTGATCCAAGGGAATGGTAGCTAGCAACCAGCTCCCTTTCCTCAGATCAAGAGCCAGCATTCAGGTCTGACTTTGCTGTTGAAATGGATTTTTGAATTTTGTGATTTAAATTGTGCTCTTGAGATTGGTTTTAAATTTGACCTTTGACAGAGCTGCTGCCAGGTCCACCCCTGAAGGTGCAGGTCAGCATATATGGTCCAACAGGTGCCAGAGTCACCTGGGACCCACCTGTCAAGAACCCTGAGGCTGTGCAGCTCTATAGGTAAGCTGCTCTGTAGGTAAGAACTTAACAAACAGTGGGGGGTTCTTTAGGTAAGAACTTCCCACACGAGAGTTCTGTAGGTAACTTTCCATGCTGGCAAACCCAAGAATAGCGTTTCGTCATCTTAAGAGTCATCATAGAGGAGCTTTACAAGAGAGGTGACTGTATATGGAGAAGATTTATAAGAGTTGAATATATATAGTAGAAAGAATAGGATGTGTTAAGACACCTGTTGTTCCTGTTCACCCATCAGTACAGTGGGTACCTGGGTGTTAGAGGACTGGTATGGGTTGCATCCTGGAACAAAATTGACCTAATTTACCCAAAATGCTCTGCATAACAAGCAGTTTTCTATATAGTAGTATGTCAGTTATGGTCTGTATACTTTGTACATGTACTTATAGAAATAAATATTATTATTAAATTATTATTATATAACTAAGACTCCCCTATTAGTAAACACCTGTCCTGTTTCCTGATGAATCTTGCCTAACCCAACCTTCACTCTGGTAACATCTCTTCCTCTCCTTGACCTGGTTCTGGCTTCTTTCCTACCCAGCTCTGCCCTGTTTGTACAGAAACCCTTAGAAATCTGTGCAGTCTGCTTTTGTTTTGCCTGCACCAGCACTGTTACTGGTAACACAATACCATGACTGGAACAATACAAAAATAACCCGCACATAGGAGAGAGAAGCTTTTGACGGCGTTTTAAGAACATAAGAACATAAGAAAGAAGGAACACTGTAACAGGCCTACTGACCCATGCAGAGCAGGTCCATGTCCCCTCCCGGATTAGACCAATGACCCACCCAGCCTGATCATCTCCACTCAAGGATAGAGCACTGCACCAGACCCAGCAGCACAAGCTAGTCAGGTCCAACTCGCACCCACCCACACCCACTTATGTATTTATCTAACCTATTTTTAAAACTACACAACGTTTTAGCCTGAATAACTGTACTCGGGAGTTTGTTCCACTCATCCACAACTCTATTACCAAACCAGTGCTTTCCTATATCCTTCCTGAATCTGAATTTTTCTAACTTGAAACCATTGCTGTGAGTCCTGTCTTGGCTGGAAATTTTCAGCACGCTATTTACATCCCCATTATTTATTCCTGTTTTCCATTTATACACCTCGATCATATCCCCCCCTAATTCTACGCCTTTCGAGAGAGTGCAGATTCAGGCCCTTAGTCTATCCTCATAGGGAAGATTTCTGATACATGGGATCATCTTTGTCATCCTCCTCTGTACGTTTTCCAGAGTATTTATATCCATTCTGTAATACGGTGACCAGACTTGGACCATCTACAAGTAAATGATCCAAGTTGGACAGTTTAAAAACCAACAAGTTGAAGATTGAGACACTTGGGAATTTTTATTGAGGAAACGTATCGCCAGTTAAAATTAATGGACTGAACACGTCAACTCTAGGCTGAGGGACTGATAACCTCATTTTCCTCTTATTCTCTATATTGGACTGAAGAAGCCACTGGCTGGTTAAATATTTCCTCAGTAAAGATTCCCAGATGTTAGACAAGTGACTCATTCTTCAGCATAAACAAGATGGAGTGCTCGGCTCATCACCCCACACTTAATGTATAATTATCCTTCATTGTAGTTTTGTTCTCTTATTAAAACTTTAATATCCTTTACTAAATTATCTTTACTTTTAGCCAGTTCTTGAACTATCATTTTTCTTTTCATTATCTCAGCTTGTTTACTTAGTGCCTCTCACATTTATTGTAAGGAAATCTTTAAAACTTCTACATATTTCATTTCATAAAGTTCCATTATTTATCTACGAGTCTTTCCTGTTTTACCTGATTTTGCTCAGTTTCAGTATTTTTATCCATCCTTCCACTGGCTTTCTTGTCTGCAGGTGTGTTAGTACTGGCTGTGTTTATATCTGGTATCTTTGTACTATTTATATATTGTTAAACTTGCATTAGTCATATGATTGCAAACATTGATCCTGACATTAACCTTTTATTAAAGACACACATGATCCTAACAACAATTGCATTTATTACACTGCTAGTCAGGCTAAGACACTACTCAGTGCCAACAATAACATAACAGTATTCATTTATAATGTCAGATTACTAAGCAAGCATAATGATGACCTCCAAGCACTACTGAATTCTCTAAATGTCAGTATGTCCATTACTCTCACTAAAACATGGCTAAAACATGTTACAAACATCTATTCCATATCTGGCTACACAGCCATACACAATTGTAGGCCAGATCAGTTAGGAGGAGTAATGGCTATATACTACTATGATGAACTAGAGTGTATAAATTCTGCTTGCACAAGGGATGAACATGGTGAATATACCTTTGCTAAATTTAAATCCAAAGACTTTACAAAACCTTTAACCCTTTCAGGGTCGACAGGCCCTCTCAGAGACTTGTTCTCAGGGTCGCCCAAATTTAAAAAAAAAAAAATTATTTTTTCTTATGAAAAGATAGAGAATCTTTTCCCGATCATAATGACACCATAATTATGCTCTTGCAAAGTTAGCGGTCTCGACGATGTTTATGCATCGGCGATTTTGCCCACCTTGAGCCCTATTTTCGGCCAATTCCAGTGTACTAGTCGACAAAAATCATAACTATGTATTTTGCTAGAACTCCATTTTTTCTATCGAATGAGTACAAGAAACCACCCATTTATTGATTTCAACTGCCCAATACAGTGGTCAGAATTTAGCAATTTTGCCAATTTCACACAAATTTCAAAAGATGCCAATTTCCGAATAGGGTCCAGAATAAACAAGAAAGACATTCCTGGCACTAAAATAACATTTCCTCTGTTCATTAGTCATGTCCCCATTCTTTTGCTTTCCACTTAGAATTTTTATTCTCACAAAAAAATAGAAGATTTACTGTTATGCAGACTACTGCATTAGTGTAGAAATGGTATAAATAATATCAGCGCACTTGTGAAAGAATATTAGACTCGCCAGTTGATGTGTATTGGACGCATAGCATGATTTGTTTACTTTTGAACTTTGGTAAAAATCGAACATATCTGCTACTTTGAGCTCAATTTCAATGTACTTTTCATTGTAAAACCAGTCAAAATCATCTCAATTTCTGTAATATGTCTTCCATTCTATAAAATGAGACCAGGAAAACTAGAATACAACAATAAATGCCATACAAAAATACAGTGCAAAGTCGCTGTTTTAATCCAAAAACACGGTCAAAGTTTTTTTTTTTCTCATTACGCACTGTGTGCTGCAGGATTTTTTTTATACCATGCACACTGACCACATAAACCCATTCTTTCATATGTAGGCCTACCAGCTTTCTCTCATTAGATTTGAAGGCGCTAGAATTTAGGCATACTAGTACGTCAAAAACCCTGGTGCGTAAGCCGTACTAGTACGGCTGAAACCCTGGAAGGGTTAACAGTTGGAGCAATTTTTAGAGTTCCTCACTCCAATATTTACTCTTTTAGTGAAAAACTAAGAAACATAATAACTAGTGCTGAAATGAGCAAACATCACCTAATACTTACAGGGGACTTCAACATAAATCTCATCCTTGACCATGACCCACAAGTGACTGAATTCACAGACACTATGAACAGCTGCTTGCTTCTACCAGCAATAACAATACCTACAAGAATCACTGACACAAATGCCTCATTACTAGACATATCAGGACAAACACTATATCCCCATTAAGAGCAGGCATAATTACTGATAACACCACTAACCACTATCCCATCTTTCTCATAACCAACTTGTGTGAGGCACCCCAGGACATAACTAAGATCACATTGCGACTACATGACGAGTCACCTAGTAATAAATATTTCAGCATTTAGTGAAAATGACTGGCAAAACGAGCTAGCAGACAACTTCAATATTGATGAATGTGTTAATATTTTTTTACAAAAAAAAAAAAAAAAACCTATAACATGCATTGCCCAATAAAAAACTAAACAGATCATACTTATTACTGCACCTACTACATTCATAGAACACTTAATTCTGATATAAACCCTCCCCTCAAACGTCTCCTTACCAACCTCAACAGAACACACGACCATAACACAAGGCACAGATCACTCTTTGATGTTCCTCGAGTCCATCTCACACTATGCAAAAACTCAATGCACATAAAAGGCCCTAAAATCTGGAATTCATTACCTGTGAATATAAAAGAAACACTGTCTGTTTATAAATTCAAATCTCTTCTCAAAAATCACTTACTCACCCACAACTAAATAAATACTGAATAATTGTATCTCATAAATTGTATCTTGTAAATGTTTCTCATTATTGTATCTCATAAATGTCTAACCTGTGACCCAATCAAACTTTATTTTTTAATTACATTACCTAACAGAATACTCCATTCTACTGAATGCTCAGCAACACAGTAAATGACCATATGACCTGTCTTTGTAATACTCATTTGTGCTAAATTGTTATCTGTTTACAATAATGTTTTTACCACTGAATATATCATTGCTTAGTTAATCTTAAGTTAATTTTAAGCTGCCCATAATGCTCTGCATACAAGGGGCTTTGGCATGTTACACTGTAATAACTTTGTACTTCACTGTATCATGTTCAAATTAATAAATAAATAAATAAATAAATAAATAAATAAGTCACCATGGACCCCAAGAAAGCTTTAGTGCCATCCTTGTGGTAAAAAGGGCGAGAATTAGTATGGAATTGAAAAAAGAGATCAAGGAAATGTGTGCAGAGTTGGTTGAACTGCAAACCTTTATGGATGAAAATCACCCTAACACAGCTATTGCAAGCTGTGCTTATTACAATGACAATGTTGTGGCCCATTTTAGGCAAATCTTAAAGGAACACGAGGTACAGAGCTCTATGGACAGATTTGTTGTGCGACAGGGGTCCAGTGACTCAAGCTGGTCCTAGTGGCATTAAAAGAAGGGAAGTAACCACGGAAAAGAACTTGCTACCTTAAGTCCTCATGGAAGGGGATTCCCCTTCCAAACAATAACTTCCACCATCTCCCATCCCATCAATCATCACCAGATCTTCAATAAAGGTAAGTGTCATGTATTCTTTATTTAGTACAGTAGTAATTGTGTATGGCTTCTTTTTGGGTGTATAAAAATGGATATTTAATGTGGTAATTTTTTTTTTTCATACTTTGGGGTGTCAGGAACGGATTAATTTGATTTCCATTATTTCTCATGGGGAAAATTAATTCGGCTAACGATAATTTCGGCTAACGATGAGCTCTCAGGAACAGATTAATATCGTTAGGGGAGGGTCCACTGTACTAATTTTATTTTTCTTGTAAAGATAATATTCCATGTTAATATTTTAATATTTTCCTTCTATTTTTTCAGAACAACACTTACATATAAAAGCTCTGTTCCTTTTCATCACAAAACACACACATTCTTTTATTTTTACCAGGCTGTGGGACTGGTTGTTCTCGGCATCATACACTCTGTGTGTGTGTGTGTGTGTGTGTGTGTGTGTGTGCGTGCGTGCGTGCGTGCGTGCGTGCGTGCGTGAGTGAGTGAGTGAGTGCGTGTGTGCGTGTGTGCGTGTGTGTGCGTGCGTGTACAAGAGAGAGAGAGAGAGAGAGAAGAGAGTACTGAATACAACAGCAGTCTACTTTACGAGGTCTTGTACCCATTAGACCAGGATCCCCAAACTCTTCAGCTCTGACACCTTCATGAAGTTTCAGATTGTCCATCAACCCCTAATCATTTATTATATGAAAATAATTTAATAAATAGTACTTTAATAGTACTACGAATAATAATGACTTCACGTATATCCTTCCCTGTGATAGATCACAGATACACAATGCAAAGCATGTCCCCAGACATTTACTTACCCCCTTTTAACCCTCGGCCATTTATTGACCCCCTTCACTAGTCCCATCGACCCTTATGGGTTGATATTGACCACTTTGGGGAACCCTGCATTAGATGGGCCAACGTACGGCTCTGAAGAATGCCTCGTCAAGCACATCATAACACTACTTATGATAATGTTTCTCTACAGAGTGTTCTGGAGGCCCATGGGACAGCGGGCAGCACTGAAGAACGACACATCCAACACTGAGCTAGTCATTGAGGGGCTCAAGTCTGATGTAACCTACGAGATTGCTGTTAAAGCTGGCAACCACAAGGGCACATCAGTCCTTACCCCTACTGTCACCTTCACCCATGGTGTTAGTTATGTCAGCTCCACTGCTACACAAGGTGAGTCTCCAGCCCCTAGTGTCAGCTTCACTGCTACACAAGGCGAGTCTCCTACCCCTAGTGTCAGCTCTGCTGCTACACAAGGCAAGTCTCCTACCCCTAGTGTCAGCTTCACTGCTACACAAGGCGAGTCTCCTACCCCTAGTGTCAGCTCTGCTGCTACACAAGGCGAGTCTCCTTCCCCTAGTGTCAGCTTCACTGTTTCTATCCACTAGTGGTGAAACGTGTTCTCTAATAACTGTCCTGAACTGTACATTAGTGTATTTTTCCCTTCCATAGTATCTAATTATAACCATAATTTTTAAAGGGGATGGAGGGGTAAGCCAGTGGAAGGCCTCAATCAGATGACCAAAAGCTCTGGCTGCAAGTCGTATAACTAAGGCCTGTGTCAGGAAACATTTGTCCAGTTTCCTGACAAACCTTACCTAACCTAGTGTCAGTTACACTGCTAATTCCTTCTATTTGATTAGAATTAGAAATTAGACAGCAGTTTGGAGGGTAATAAGAATTGCGGCATCAGGACACGTCCTACAGACGTGTCCTGATTTTAAAAATTACTTAAAGAACATAGTAATTTAGGAACATTGCAGTGGGCCTACTGGCCATTGCTAGGCAAATCCAACCATTCCCACCCACATATTTATCCTGCATGTTCAGAAAGCTACTCAAAATGGTATATATAGCCCTACAATGTTTCCATGCTTCTGCACATGGTGACACACCTTCTGGGTATGAGTAAAAAAAAAAAATAATGGAAATCTGGGTACTGAAGATGTCCAGCCGACATACAAATAACCCGCACATAGGAGAATAAATATATGACAACATTTTGGTCTAACTTGGACCATTATCTAATGACAAGATGATGAATTGGACACATGTGCAACATCTGGGTAGATTTACTTGTAGACGTTTTGCCGTCCAGTGGCTTTATCAGTATATGAACATAATGTTAAGAGTTAAAATGTACATATAGTACTGTATTCTTCAAGACTACAGTGCTCATCACCTGCTCCTAGGCTGAGGGACTGATTACCTCATCCACTGTGTACTGTATATATTTATGCAGTCTTTACATCATATCCATGTATTGTATTGATAAAGCCATTGGATGGTGAAACATCTACAAGTAAAGATACCTAGATGTTGCATATGTCTAATTCATCATCTAGTCACTAATAATAATAATAATCTTCTACAAGTACATGTACAAGGTATACAGACCATAGCTGACCTCAATATAGAAAGCCACTTGTTATGCTGAGCATTTCTGGCAAATCGAGTCAATTTTGTTCCCAGGATGCTGACTATATATAGAACAGTTTTATAAGAGTTGGCTGTGCCTTCATGAGCTTCATAAGAAATCTGACTGTGCACCATCTACCATAAATGACGACTTGTCTCCGTGGCAGGAGCTTCTGGTGTAGCAGTGGCAGTGGTGACGGTGATAGTGGTGATCCTGGTATGTGTGCTGGTGGCACTGAGCATCTTCTGGGCACGCAAGAGGAACCTGCTGGGTGCCAAGTCTTCAAGTAACGGTGGCATCTCCTTCGAGAACCCTTCCTATATCAGGGAACGCAACGGAGATACTGTCCAGGCCAGTAGCTCTTGTGTAATCGTTGTCAATTATATATTATTCAACAAATTGGCCATATCCCACTAAGGCAGGGTGACCTAAAATGAAAAACGAAATTTTCTCTTTTTAAATTTAATGTATACAGGAGAAGGGGTTACTAGCTCCTTGCTCCCAGCATTTTAGTTGCCTTATGGAGGAAGAATTCTATTTATTTATTTTATGTCTTTGCAAACAGTACATTGAGATTTTGTATTTACAAGAGTGGGTTGCAATGCAAAGAGAGCCTCTATTATGCCTAGGCATTATGGGCCTACTTAACATTATTGGCTTACAGACTACTTAACACTAAGGATTATATCATAGTTGTACAGTAGGATAGTAATTATTTCATAGTTATACAGTAGATTATTAATTATAAGTGGATCAAAATTTGCATAAGACAAAAGATATATTCATATAATCAAAAATGCTTTTTGTGAAAACAATGATTCAATTATATTCCTGTCAACAATTGATAAAAGGTTCAAAGTGATTGTTGAAGTTATGATGTGGGAGTACATAAGTGAGTATGTGTGTACTGAGTATTTAGCATTTAGTCTAAGGTGATTAAGTGGCTTTTGAGAAGAGTCTTAAATTGATTTTCAGACTGGGTTACTTTAATATCTTCTGGTAATGAATTTCATATTTTGGAAAAGACCCCTTTATGTGCATAGAATTTTTACACAGTGTGATATGGACACGAGGTATATCAAAAAGTGATCTGTGTCTTCTGTTGTGGTCATGTGTCCTGTTTAGGTTGGTGAGAAGTTTGAGTGGAGGGTTTATATTTGCATGTATTGTTCTGTGTATGTAGTAAGCGCATGAATAAATATGGATGTTCTTAACGGTGAGCAGATTCAGACTTGAAAATTGGTGGAGTATGCTGGCAGGAGTGGGAATTTGTTATCATTCTTACTGCTGCCTTTTGCTGGGTATTAGGGGTTTTAGGTGATTGGATGTTGTTGATCCCCATACACAAATTCCATATGTAAGATAAGGGTATATGAGTGAATGGTACAGTGCCAGGAAAGCTGATTGTGGAACATAGTACCTTATCTTTGATAGTATGCCTACAGTCTTGGAGATTTTCTTGGTGATTTGTTGTATGTGTGTCCGGAACTTAAGGCTACTGTCAAGGTGGATACCTAGGAATTATCCCTCTGCGAGTCTTGTGACTGATGATCCATTTAGCGTTATGTTAATTGGATCATTTGCAGCTTTGTTTCCAAACTGAATGAAATAGGTTTTATCAGTATTCAGGGTAAGTTTATTAGTCATCATCCAGGCAGATATTTTCTGCATTTCAGCATTGACTGTGTTTGGGTGGGAAAAAGACATATTTAGTGTCATCTGCAAATACGTAATATGGGTTTGAGTAGCTGTGATGCATTTGGTAGATCATTGATGTAGATGAGAGAGGAGTGGTCCAAGGACACTTCCTTGTGGGACTCCTACTGTGATTGGTTGAGTGGAAGAGTTTGCATCATTTGCATACACATATTGAGTTCTGTTACTAAGGTATGATTTTAGGTAGTTGAGGGAGTGACCTTTGATACCATAGTGTGTTAATTTGGAGTACAGCAGTTCATGGTCAACTGTATCGAAGGCTTTACGTAAATCAATGAAAATGCCCAGCGGGACTTCTTTCTTTTCGAGTGCGGTATATATTAGCTCAAGCATGTGTATGATAGCATCATTTGTGCTTTTATTATTCCTGAATTCAAACTGACAAAGGTTTAATATGTGTGAGACGAGGTAGGAATAGATCCGTCTATGAATTAATATTTCAAAGATTTTAGAGAGCAGTGGTAAGTAAGATATTGGTCTATAGTTATTCAAGTCAGCTTGGTCACCTCCTTTGTGGATCGGAGTGACCCTCGCTATTTGGAGGATTGTTGGGTAGGTAGATGATTCAATGGATTTGTTAACCCTTAAACGGTTCAAACAGATCGACGTTCAAATTCGTATTGCTACAAACGTAGATCTACTTTTTTTACATATTTTCAAATATAACAAAAAAAAAAGGTAGATAAAAATGTTTTTTACGCGTTTTCAAATGTAAAACAAAACAGAAGATCTACATTTTTTTTACATACTTTCAGATGTTGAAAAAATGTATATATACGTTTGGACCGTTTAAGGGTTAAAGAGCATTGCAATAATTGGTGACAATACTTGAGAAGCTTTTTTGTACATAAAAGCAGGCAAGTTGTTTATGTCTCCTGCCTTGTTTTTAAGGGTGTTTATGATAAGTGTAACTTCTATGGGGGTTAGTTGGAGCTAGGAATAGCATATTTGGGTAGGTAGTCTGATGAACGGGTGTTTGCGCTTCGTATTTTGTTAGCTAGATTTTTTCCTATTTTGGATTATTATTATTATAATCAAGGGGGAAGCGCTAAACCAGGAGAATTATACAGCGCCTGGGGGGGATGTGGAAGGCATTCAGGCTTAATTCGGGGAACTGGAGCACAGATCCAATTCCCTAAATCAAGAGCCCCTCACCAACATCAAGGAACCTTCTTTGAGGGGTCCTATGGTGGAGAAGAAAACATTAAGTCTGTTTGCTGTTTTCAGTAGGTGTGAGTTGGGGTTCATCTGATTTTGTTAGTTTGATTGTTTTGTTTTTGGATAATTTTTTAGTTCCAAGAATTTCAGATAGTTTTCCAGGTTTTTTTCATATCACCTTTGATGTTATGTAATCTATTTTCATAATACAATTTTTTAGATCTTATCAGGCTGGTAAGTGCTGATGAGTAACGTTTAGACTGTTCTCTAGTTATTTGTCCCATTCTATACTGTTTTTCATATTTGTGCTTTGTGTTAATGGATTTGAGGATGCTTGGTGTTAGCCAGGGATTATTCAGTCTCTTTGCTGTGATCTGTTTAGTTTTTTGGGGCAATGTTTGTTAGAGGCTTTGGGCTTTTTTTAGAAAATTATTTATATATTCATTCATATCTGTATATGTTTCAAGCTCATTTTGCCAATCAATGTTATTCATAGCTGCTATAAAACTGTTAACTGCTGTCTCGTTATGTAGTCTGAAAGTTACTTTAGTAATGTCTTGTGGCAGTTTGCCCAGATTAGTTATGAGAAAGGTTGGGTAGTGGTCTGTAGTGTTGTCTGTGATTATGCCTGATTTAAAGGGGATGTGGTCTATTAAGGAGATGCTTGTCTCAGTGATTCTTGTAGGTTTAGATATTGCTGGTAGCAACAGGCAGTTACTCATTGTGTTTGTGAATTCGGTTACTTGTGGGTCCTGATCATGTAGTATGTTTATGTTGAAATCTCCTGTTAGTAGTAGGTGGTTTTTATTCATGTGTGCATCAGTAATCATGTTTCCTAGTTTTTCACTAAAGTGGTAAATGTTTGACTGTGGTACTCTGTAGATGTTTATAACTGTGAGGGGTTTTTGCAGGTCTTTTGATTTAAATTTGGCTATGATATATTCTCCATGTTCGTCCCTCATGCAAGATCTTTGATACATTCGAGTAGTATAGTATAGCTGTTCCTCCCCCTTGCTGGTCTGTTCTACAGTTGTGTATGACCATGTAGCCATGAATGGTATAGACATCTGTAATATCAGGCTTAAGCCAGGTTTCTGTGAGTGTGATGATTGATATATTGGAATGAAGAGAATTGAGTAATGCTGTGAGGTCATCATAATGTTTGCTCAAGGATCACTACTCCACGGAGAATTTATATATGTCATGCCAAATAGGTAAAACTTCCATTTTTGGCTTAAGTAGCAACACTTTGCCCAGTAAAGGCAAGTGCAAATTTGTGTATGCAATAATTTCACAAAAATCATTCTGAACCTAATGGAAAAAATATATATCATTGTTTATTGTAAAATTTCTGTAAATTTGTCTAAAATATATTTAGTTGGATTAGGCAAGTTTGCTGAGTTGCTTTTGGTACAAAATTATTAATTTTAAATGAGTTCTTGCTAAGTGACCAATTTTACCTATTTGGCATGACGTATATATATGAAATGCATGATTGCAGTATGAAAAATAGGAAGTGAAACCTGAGCACTTTCATGTGCTTATGCCCACAAGTTCAGAAAAATTGCTGAAAGATGGCTGAGTCTAGTTAAGGAATGAGTTTGACGATCAGGAGATGGATCCTGCATGACTTAACCACGTTAAATTGAACATTAGTTATGTTTTATTTAGAACTGCAGGTGTCCATGAGGTTAGTTATTATTGTTCTTAGAAACTAAAGTTGGTTCTCTGTACAGATCGCCGAGACTCCCAATGGCAGCCTCAACGGGAACATAACGGGGATGAACGGTGGGATGAACAACGGCGGGATCTCACCCATTGACGTGAACGGCGGAGTGTGGAACACCCAGAATGTGTCAGCGTCAACCCCAGGGTTTGAAGACGATCTGCCGAGTAACGGAGGCTACATGCGCTTCACCAGCTAATGTTTACCCTTGACTGATCACCAGTTTCATTGGTCCATTTCTCCGGATCGTCATTTTTAAATACTTACATATATTTTCAGACCGTAGTGTGACTTAGATAAAATTCTTTTTTCACAGAGAAGAGAAAAAATGGCGTATTTCTGTGCAATAATTTCGTACACGAAAGTCGGATTTTTAGTAGGGAGGTCAAATTTGAGTTGCTTCTGGATGTCCAAGATATCACATTATTACTTTGCAAAGAAAAAGGAGATGTAATGAAGTAGTGTTTAATGTGTTTTTTAAGTGGTAAATGAAAATGGTGTCAGGAGAGGTGTACTACACTGTCACTGCCTGGTCTCAGACTGGACCGTGGAGGCATTGACCCCCGAAACTCTCTCCAGGTATACTCCAGGTATCCATCACCTGCAGCTCACTTCCACACTATTTACGATTGTCACCCCTCAGTTACCATCACTACAACACTGCACTTATCACTCGATTACCACCATCACCACTGTTGCTGTCATAAGACTTATTTCTAAATTAATAAAAGTCACAATAGTTTAATGACTTTGTAAGCAATAATATATACAGCCTCTTCTCACTTAACGATGGAGTTCCGTTCCTAAAACCACATCGGTAAACGAATTCGTCACTAAGTGAGGAGCATACTATGATGGTAGTGAGTTTGTGTCTACCATCTTTGGTATTGTTTTAATGTCACCTTTTCACCATTTATAACATTTCTGGTATATTTTTAAATGTTTATACAGTAGTGTACTGTATATTGAAATAAACAGAATAGAGGAAATCAGCTCTGATATACATTTAAGTATGAATACTGGTCAGAGAGCCCATCGTAAGTCCAAGGTGTTGGTAAACAAGTACATCGCTAAGTGTGGAGAGGCTGTATATATATATACACACATTATATATATATTAGTGTGTGTGTATTATGCCGAATAGGTAGAAGTGGTCAATTAGCAAGAACTCGTTTAAAATTAAGTCCTTTCTAAAATTTTCTCTGTTTAAAGATACATTTTTTTTTCACTTGTGTTCATGTAAAAACTAATAATTTTGTATCAAAAAAACCTTAGAAAGCTTACCTAACCTTAATATAACAAGCACAATTTAATTTAACTTAATCCAACTAAATATATTTTAGAAGAGTTTCAGTAATTTAATAAGCAAATACAATGAAATATTTTTCATTAGGTTCAGAATGATTTTTGCTAAATTATTGCATACACAGATTTTCGCTTAAATTATTTGCCAAGAGCATTGCTATTTAAGCCAAAATCGCAAGATTTACCTATTCGGCACAATATTTTGTATGTATATATAATATATATACATAATATATGTGTGTGCGTGTGGAATAAGATCACAGTAAACAAGTGATATCACAATATGCAGAATAATTTGTGAAATTCCAAGCACTTTCATGCTTTCTAAAATTATCGAGGACCTGTAAAAATAATAGAACAGTAGAAGGTTTATTACTATAATCAAAACAAAATGGTAAACCTACTATAAGATATCACCTGACATAATACCCGTCCCAGTATGATGCAGATGGTTGTGCCAAGGACCTGTCACACAGCAGATTTATCTTACCACTTTAAGAAGCTTCCTAACATTCCAGAATACACCACATTTTTCCAGAATTCATCATATCATTCCTGAATGTAACATATCCCAGAATGTAATAAATAATCCCAGAACATGTCATATTGCTGAATGCATCATATCATTCCAGAAAGTGTCGTACTGCAGAATATATCACATTCCACAATGTATAATATACAGATTTGAGAATCGATATCCTCTTCAAGGGGGGCTCCTTGGTGTGGTGAAGAGGCTCTTGGTCTGAGGAATTAGACCTGTCGGTCTACTTCCTCAGACCGAACCTAATTACCCCCCAATCCCCCATTCCCTATCCCATCCTCCCCCTTTTCCTTTCCTCCTCCTCCTCCCCACCCCTCCCTTTTGCCTTTTTTTTTTTTTCCACAGGCACGCTAGTTCCTAGGTAGGGGAAAGGGTACCGGGGTCCATCCCATTCCGTTGAGGTTCTTGGCGGTGGCGTAGTTTGCCATGGAATCTGGATTGCCTGGGGATGTCCTGATCCCTCTCCGGTATCCCGGAGGGTGTCTCTCGGGCGACGGGTGTATCTCTGGAAGCCACCTTTCGGATTCCGGGGGTGGTGGTATGCTTTGTGGCAGATTTCCGGCCGCCCTCTCTTTTGTCCACCGAGGTAGCTCGGCAGATGTGAGGTTGCTATCCCGGATTGCCGGTTTACTGGCATGATGGGTAGGGTATGGCACGGGTTCCATGCTGTATCTGCGTTACTTGCGGTGCTGAGGTCCTCTTGGGCGCGGAGGGAGATTTCTGGCCCTTTCATTCCTCCTAGGACCTATCCCTCCCCGCTCCCCCCTTTTTTTATCCTTTTTTTTATTTTTATTTTCTTTTCTTCTTTCTTTTTTTTTCTTAAAAACAAAAAGAAAGAAGTAACCTAACCATGGCACCCCTAGTCCATGAACCTGCTACCCCCGGGCCCCTTCTTGATACCGCACCCCGTTCTGACCCCGCCTCGTCTTTGGACCACTCTTCGGACACTCCTCATGCCTCTGTACCTCTTGCCGGTGCTGTTTCCTCACCCGCTTCAGGTACTGAGGCCTCGACTGACTCCTTCGATTTATCTGACCTTCACTCTCCTCTGACTATGCTTCCGGCCTCTCCCTCTACGGTGCGGCAATTTTCAAATCGCCGGCCCGTTCCACGTCGGACCAACTCTGGTCCCACGCCTAAACGACAACGACAATTACCTGCTGATGATACTTCTCCACCTTCTCGTTCTTCTCAGAAAAGATCGACACGTCCTTCACTACCTTTCCACGCTCAGTTTCAGACTGCACAATGGACTAAATTCTTCACTTTACGACCGACTTCCTCTACTGTCTATCTTTCTGACCACAGTATTGGCAAGGCACTCCTACGCCATGTTGGTAAAGATATTTCTTTTCATGCTCTTAAGAGCGGTACGCGCATCGTCACCGTACAGAATGCTACCCAGGTTCATGAGCTTTCTCGTCTTTCCCATATCGATACTGTTCCTGTAACTATTGAAAAGCATCATTCCCTCAATTCTTGTAGTGGTACCGTCATTCTGCCCCATACCATAGTTCAACAACAAAATTTCCAGACATGTGGCACTGACATTCTTGAACAGCTGGAACTCCAAGATCTCCCAATCCTCAAGGTAGACACTTACGTTCTTCCTGCCCGCGGGCGGAGACGATACCCTAGCAATGTGGCTCGTTTAACTTTTGACAGCCATGAACTCCCATCCTCAGTTTATGTAGCAGGACATCGGTTACAAGTTCGAAAGGTGATCCCTACACCGCAACAGTGTAGAAATTGCTGGCGATTTGGCCATCCAGCGAAATATTGCAGATCTATCGCCGAATGCCCAGTCTGTGGTGCCGATGACCATTCTAATAAGTCTTGCAATCACCTCCCCTTGCCTAATTGTCATGAGGCTCACCCTTCGTCTCTCGCCGTTGTCAAGTCTACTTAAACGAGCGGGAAATCCATTACCTCAAAGAGGCAGAAGGTCTCCCTTATGCCATGGCAGTTTCTCATCTCCGCCTCCAAAGGGAGACTACCTCGTGTTTCTTATTCCGTGTTTCAAAACGTCCCCCCACTTCTGGTATCCCATCTTCTGCACCCACCTCTGTGGTTACCTCTCCCATAGTCACTCCTGTAGCTAATTCTTTTGCTGTCCTCGGCTCAGACGTCCCTACTTTCTCAGTCTGATCTTGCTTCTTCGTGTTCTCTCTCACAAGCCTCAGTAGCGACGAGATCTCGTATGACACCTCCTCCCAATCGTCCCTCTACTTCTCAAAAGTCAAAAAAAGGTCCGTTAACACCTCCTACCCATCTTCCACCTCCTCATTTTCCCTTCCCTGTCTCTGTACCTGGTTCTCCTTCTCGTACTGTACCTTCCTCCCCTGTTCTCTCCCAAGTTTCTTCCTCTTCTGCCACCTCCCAGGTTTCTGCCTCTTCTGTCCCCTTCCACGCTTCTCCAGTTCCCTCCACCCTTTCGCCCCCCCCTACCTTGGTACAGTCCATTACAGTTCCAATCTTTACTCATCTTTCCCCTACCATTTCCAATATTGTCTCCCATACGACGTCTCTGAATTCTGAAACACTTGAAGCAATCTCTGAATATATTGCAGAGACCAAACCATCAATGGACACTGATCCACCCTCCGCTCCTTCTCTCTCCTCAACTCCATCTGCGCAACTCCTTTCTTCACAGTACACCGTTCCTTCGCTGCTTGAACGTTTTCCACTGCCTCTGCATGTGGACTTTTCTAACCCCTCTAGTCCGTAGGAACCCTTACCTGCGGATTTCAGGTATCTTTATCATTGCCAATCATGGCCTATTTACAGTGGAATATACGCAGCCTCAGGGGTAATCGGGGTGAGCTTCAGATGTTACTCTCCCAGTTTTCCCCTGTTGGTGTTTGCTTACAGGAACCAAAATTACACTCTGCTGTTATCTCTCCCATCTCAGGCTATAATTTATTGTATTCTTCAGATCCTTTTCCTGATGGTACCTTTAATGAAAGTGCCCTTCTTCTACGCACTGATATTCTGTACCATCAGCTATTTGTTCATATTTCGCTGCATTACACAGCAGCCCGTATCCACTTGCATAGGTGGTATACGCTCTGTTCTTTTATCTCTCTCTTCTCGGGCATTATCTATTCCGGGTATTGCCTTTCTTGTTTTGTCATTACCACCACCGATTCTGTTACTTGGTGATTTTAATGCCCACCATTTCCTCTGGGGGGGGGGTCTCACTGTGATTCCCGTGGCATTCAGTTAGAGGCTTTTCTTGCGACCCACCCCCTCCATGTTTTAAATACAGGTACTCACACCCATTTTGATCCTCGGACTCACACTCTCTCTTGCATCGATCTCTCAGTCTGCTCTTCCTCTGCCGCATTAGACTTCA